GACAGCCGAAAAGCCGTGTATGCTAAAAAATGCACGTTTTTCCAAAGAAAATATATGATTTGGGTCTCCTGTTGGCCTCGTGGGGCGCCTCTTGGGGCTTCTTGGGGGGGTTATTGGGGCCTCCTGGGCGCGTCTTGGGGCGATAGGCTAGACTGTTCGGTTCGTGGTCCCCTTCTTGGGGCCGTCTTGGGACCCTCTTGGGCCGTTTTGGGCGCCGCCTCTTGGGCCGTCTGGGGGCCGTCTTGGGCCGTTTCGGGGGGCCTCTTGGGATCCTCTTGGGCCGTCTCGGGGCGGTCTTGGGGGTTGGGCCGCCGTCAACGCCGTGAAAAAGCGAAAATACGTATATGCTAAATGTATACGCTTTCTTATTACAAATTAAAAATTTGGGCCTCTTGGGACCCTCTTGGGACGCCCCCTGGGCGCCTCTTGGGGCGTCGTGGGGGCCTCTTGGGACGTCTTGGGGCTGTATTGGGCGGTTTCGGGCTCTTCTGGAACGGAAACCAAGAGAAATCCAACAACACATACAAACATCCCACGGAAAACCACCAAAACGGCCATGAAACATGGGCCGACACGGAAACGGAAAGAGCGCTGCAGGAACTTGTCCGAAATTGCTCACACCACCGTTCGTGCAGGGAGCCTCGGCGTCGAGAGCTTGTTGGTCACCCCGCGCTCCGCCTCCTCCTCCTCCTCCTCCTCCTCCTCCTCTTCCTCATCCTCCTCCTCCTCCGCCTCCTCCTCCGCCTCCTCCGCCTCCTCCTCCGCCTCCTCCGCCTCCTCCGCCTCCTCCGCCTCCTCCGCTTCCTCCGCCTCCTCCTCCTTCTTTTCCTCATCTTTTTTTTCCTCCTCCTTATTTTCCTCCTCCTTCTTTTCCTCCTCATTTCCCTCCTCCTCCTTTTTCTCCTCCTCCTGTCCTTTTCGTCCTCCTTTTCCTCCTCCTTTCCCTCCTCCTCTTCCTCCTCCTCTTCATATTCCTCCTCCTCCTCACTTCTCCTCCCTTCTCCTCCCCCTCCCCCTCCCCTCCTCCTCCTCCTCCTCCTCCTCCTCCTCCTCCTCCTCCTCCTCCTCCTCCTCCTCCTCCTCGTACTCCTCCTCGTTCTCCTCCTCTTTCTCTTCCCCCTCCTCCTCCTCCTGGCAGCGCGGCGGCGGGGCCCCCCGGAGTCCGGTGGGGGGCCCGCCGCCTTTGCGGTCCGCGGCGCGCGAGCCGCGAGCCGCCGCGCGCCGCCGCGGGCCGGCGCCGCGCGCCCCGCGCCCCGCCGCGCCGCGCCGCGGGGCGCGGGCAGGCCGCGGCGCCGCCTGGCAGCGCCGCTGCGTCCAACTCCGGCAGCGGCGCAGGGGCCGCCGCGGGCCGCGGGCCAGGCGGCTGTGACGCTGGAGGTCTGAATCCCCCCCCACCTGACCCGATGCGCGCCCGCGGCGGCCGCGCCGCAGCGTCCGCAGCGCGGGGCGGCCGCTGGGCAGCGCCGGCAGCCGCAGCGGCGCCGGGGGGCCAGGCCACCCTCCGCCAGCGTCTCAGCGGCGGTCGCCCAGCAGGGCGCGCGGCTCGGGGCGGCCAGGCGGCGCGCAGGAGCGGGCGCGCCTCCCTGCAGCCCGTCGGCCTGGCAAGGGCAGCGCCGCCGCAGGCCCGGCGCTGAGTCTGGCGCGGCGCTCGGGCGGGGCGGGGCCGTCGGGGCCCGGCAGGCGGCGCGCCGCGCCAGCGGCCAGGGTGGCCGTGCGGTGAGCCTCGGCGTTGCCGCGCTGCAGAGCGGCGGCCAGGCTCTGGCGCGCCGCCGTCAGCGTCGCCGGGTCGCCCGCCGCCCAAGTCCGCAGGAGCGCCTGCGCCTCCTTCCGGGCTCGGCCCTGCGCCTCCAAGGCGAAGGCGACCAGGGCCGGGCCCGGGTAGCGCCTGTGCTTGCGGGCCCCTCCGCCTCCGCCAACGCCTCCTCCTCCTCCCCCGCCTCCCCCGCCTCCTCCTCCCCTCCTCCTCTCCTCCTCCTCCTCCTCCTCCCTCCCTCCTCCTCCTCCTTTTCCTCCTCCTCCTCTTCCTCCCTCCTCTCCTCCTCCTCCTCCTCCTCCTCCTCTCTCCTTCCTCCTCCTCCTCCTCCTCCTCCTCCTCCTCCTCCTCCTCCCTCCTCCTCCTCCTCTCCTCCTCCTCTCCTCCTCCTCCTCCTCCTCCTCCTCCTCCTCCTCCTCCTCCTCCTCCTCCTCCTCCTCCTCCTCCTCCTCCCTCCTCCTCCCTCCTCCTCCTCCTCCTCCTCCTCCTCCTCCTCCTCCTCCTCCTCCTCCTCCTCCTCCTCCTCCTCTCCTCCTCCTCCTCCCTCCCCCTCCCCCTTCTACCTCCCTCCTCCTCCTCCCTTAGCCTCCTCGTTCCTCCTCCTCCTCCTCCTCCTCCTCCCTCCTCCTCCTCCTCCTCCTCCTCCTCCTCCTCCACCTCCACCTCCAACCTCCACCTCCACCTCCACCTCCACCTCCTCCTCCTCCTCCTCTCTCCTCCTCCTCTCCTTCTTCTCCTCTTCTTCCTCCTCTTCTTCTTCCTCCTCCTCCTCCTCTCCTCCCTCCTCCTCCTCCTCCTCCTCCTCCTCCTCCTCCCTCCTCCTCCTCCTCCTCCTCCTCCTCCCTCCTCCTCCTCCTCCTCCTCCTCCTCCTCCTCCTCCTCCTCCTCCTCCTCCTCCTCCTCCTCCTCCTCCTCCTCCTCCTCCTCCTCCTCACCTCCTCCTCCTCCTCCTCCTCCTCCTCTCCTCCTCCTCCTCCTCCTCCTCCTCCTCCTCCTCCTCCTCCATCTCCTCCTCCTCCTCCTCCTCCTCCTCCTCCCACCCCTCCTCCTCTTCGGGCGCACTTGGGAGCCTATTGGGGCCCTCCGTCTGGGGGTCAACTTGGGCCGTTTGGGGCCCTTTTGGGGCGCCTCTGGGGCCGTATTGGGATGATCTTTGGGGCCTCTTAGGCCGTCTTGGGCCCGTCTGGAGGCCCCCTTGGACCGTTTTACGCCTCTTGGGGGCATCTTGGGGCTTCTTTGGGGGCTGTGGGGGCCTTCCGGGAGCGTCTTGGGGCGATAGGCTAAACTTTTCGGTCCGTGGTCCCCCTCTTGGAGCCGTCTGGGGGCCCATTTGGGCCGTTTTGGGGGCCTCTTGGGAGCCTCTTGGGCCGTTTTGGTGCGGTCTTGGGGGCCAATTGGGCCGTCGTCAACGCCGTGAAAGGCGAAAAGCCGTAGTATCCCGGCAAAGCAACCTAACGGCGATGTGTATAAGCATATCTGGAAGCAGTCCCCTTAAGATTCAGGTGAATCCAGTTGTAGAATTCTGCTGTTCTCGCAGTCGCAGTCGCAGTCGCAATGACAGTCGCAGTGGCAACGGCCTTAGGATCCAATGGAATCCTAAGGATTCCTAGGGATTCCCAAGGCATCCTTAGGCATCCTTAGGAATCCATAGGAATCCTTAGGAAAACTTGGGAATCCTGATTCCTAGGGATTCCTATGGATTCCTAAGGATTCCTAGGGATTCCCAAGGCATCCTAAGGATTCCTGAGGATGCTTAACTATGACTACGGATTCCTAAGGATGTCCACGGATTCCTAAGGATTCCGAGGGATTCCTAAGGATTCCTATGGATTCCTACGGATGCCTCAGCCTGCCTCAGTTTCAGCCTCAGCCTCAGCCTGCCTCGGCTTGCCTCAGCCTCAGCCTCAGCCTGCCCCGGCCTCAGCCTCAGCCTGCCTCAGCCTCAGCCTCAGCCTGCCTCGGCCTCAGCCTGCGTCAGCCTCAGCCTGCCTCAGCCTCAGCCTGCCTCAGCCTCAGCTTCAGCCTCAGCCTCAGCCTGCCTCGGCTTGCCTCAGCCTCAGCCTCAGCCTGCCTCGGCCTCAGCCTGCCTCAGCCTCCCCTCCTCCCTCCCCCCCCTCCCCCCATTCAACCTCACCTTTTCTCAGTTTCTGCCTGCCTCGGCCTCATCCTCAGCTCCCCACACTCTAATTAACATGACCGCTCGAAACAAATGTGCCTGCAAGCGGCTCTGGCCACGCCTGGCGCTGCTGCTGCGGCTGCTGCTGCTGCTGCGGTTTCGGCATCCCGTCAAGTCTCGAACTTCTCGGGGGCCGCGGGGACCGATCGGGCTCGATGCCAGGCAGATCCCGTGAGTGAGATCAACTTGTCCTGTAGTGTCTGAACTTTGGGCGGGGGAACCCCCCCAGGCCTTCCCGCGGCCACCCAGTCCCCCACGGCCCCACGCGGCCTCGCAGGTCGGTCCAAAGACGGAAGGCGGATACGTAATAGGAGCATACGGAGGAGGGAGCAGGACGGGTGTGTTTTCTCTCGCGGCGTTACAGCGAAGTGGGCGGCCATGTCTGCAACGGCAACGCGCATGTGGCAAGGAGCAGGATGGGGGAGGAGGGGGGGGAGCAACGGGGGCAGGAGGAGGAGAGAGGAGGGAGAGGGCCTGGGAAGGGAGGGCAGGGGGGAGGGGAGAGGCATCCACGAGTCCCATCAGGGCCACGGCGCCTCGCAGAATACGAACGGTTCCTTCCTCGCATCCAGAGCCACGACCCTCCCTGGTGTAGTGGCACAGTGTAGTGTAAGGGCGTAGAGCCCTTGGACAGCCATCTTGAGACAAACGAGACACACTCAGCGGCAGAGGGGCAGCAACACTGGACCCGATTGGACAGAAGACTCTTCAGTCCAATCGGCAAGCATGCAAAGACAACACTGGTGAATAACCACATCGTTACTCTGAGATCGGAAAGTCCGTACAACTTAAACATCCCGATGCCTGGTGTGGTCAATGCGCGGTTCCCAGGGCAGCGCGGCGGCCCTCCCTTCCGACGCGAGGCCTGGCAGCGCCTCCCGGGAGCGAGGGCACGAGGATGAGACAGACAAGGGAGGACGACGAAGAGATAAGGGACTACAAGCTAGGGAGAGCGGTGGGGAGAGAGGTGGTGTTCTCGACCCCATGATGTCCCTCCTCCTCCCCACGAGCATTGCCTGCGATCGCTGGTGTGATTGCCAACATCAGCTGCCTTTAGATGCGATCGAGAGACGGGCGAACTAGTATTATAAATGCAAGGGGGGCGAGGGGAGTGTCCTCCCCCGAACGCACGGGCACGCTGTCGAACTCGGACGCGGCGCAGAGGATGTCCATCAATCCGCGCCTCTTGGTCTCCTCGTTGACGCACCTGCCAGGTACTGCCTCCACCTGTTCTCCTCATGGCCATCGTCGAGGCCATCATTACCACCACAGCCATCACCATCGCCAACATGTCGTCATCACCATCGCTAGTACTGCTCCACTCCTACCGCTGGGCATACTTTCCGATCCCTGGCCGATGTCGCCTGCTGGCGATTGTCTTGATAGTCGGGGAGACAGAAGCTTGACTTGATGTCCTCCCCTCTCCTCTCTTCTATCCTCCTCCCTCCTCCTCTTCTTGATCCTCCTCTTCTACATCCTTCATATTATTGTGTTCATCAACACTCCCTCCGCCTCCCCCGTCCTACGGGTAATCCTCGGGATCCTCCTTCCTAGTGCTCGTCCTCGTCGTCCTTCCTATTTCCACCCCCCTCCTCGCCAATCACTCATTTTCCTCCATCCTCATCCTCCTCCTTTTCTGCTTCCCGCAGCCCTGAGGGACCAATGTCTGAGGTGTCCACACATGCATGCGTCAGCGGTGAGATAGGCGGCAAGTATAGCGGGGGACGAGGAGAGCAGCAACGTGCACGAGAGACGCAGCCGAATCTCGCCCGCAAGACCTGGCAACACTGCACTCGCCCGAAGGAACGAGTAGCACATGAAACCAGGACCTTAGGCGGGAAGCGCAGCCCCAACGTACATGGGGGCGCCAGCAGCCATGACGAGAAGCGCAACCCAACGGACGACGTGGGGCGCAAGGAATGGCGAATGGGGGCACAAGAATGGATGCACTAGGCGCACCAAGAATGCAGCTAAGCGCCACTCACTGGTAGACGATCTCAGGGCTCCTGGCGGCCGTGTGGCAGTACATCTTGTCGAAGGCTGTCTTGTCGCTGAGCAGCGGTAGGAATACAGCGGCCACCCCAGGCTGCCCTTCTTGAGCAGCGAGGTCGTACAATATCTGGAACACCTGGTCGTTAGCAACTGGGTCCACATGTTGGCACTCGAAAGCGGCCTTTTGGAACGCCATGCCGAGAGACTTCTTCGTATGGGAGCCGATAGGCTCAAGACAAGATGCCTTGACACGAATGGCCTCCGCGCCAGTCTTAAAGGCCCAGCGGTCAGCAGCGTCGTCGCAGAAGCACAGGGTGCCTTCACGACCATTTAGCAGCGGCCTAGCCTTGAGGCCAACAAGGCGCGCGGCCATGCCTGGAACGAATGTGTGCTTCTCGCCTTGCTGCTGAGGAACAATGGCCTTTCCGTGCCGCTGGGGCCTCACCACATCAATATCAGTCTCCGCCTTGGCACAGGGTTCGCTCTCCATCGCCACAGAGCCCGAGCCACTCGCGCCACCTTCACCAGGAAGCTGCACGCTGGACGACTCATCCTTCTCGTGCGCCAGGACTGGCCCGATGGACTCGGCGTGCGTCTGGCGCTCGGAGCCCTCCTGCACCGCAGAACGCGTGTCCGGCGGCGTATCAGAGAAGCCTCCGAAGAAAACCGGAAGGGGCTTCACGACAAGACGGATGTGGGACTCGCCTTTGGAGTTCTTGTGCCCGTGGTCCACGATACTAGCGTTGTCGATGTCCAGCTGCACCATGTGGAGCAAACTTATCATGAGGCTGTTCCGCATAGTCGGCTCCCAGACGGGGAACAGGCAGATCTGCATGATCAGCTTGTCGCTGTGGCTGCACATTTTGACAGCACCTTGGCGGCCATTCGCTAGCTCCTGGATGATCCAATGGAGCCTGGCTGCTGAGACCATGGCGGCGCGGGGGGCAAGGGGGGAGAACAGCGGCTCGCACGTGCAAGCGAATGGCCCCTCCTCAGGCAGACGCCTGAGCCACAGGGGCTATCCTCCTCCTCCTCCTCCTCTTCTTCCTCCTCGTGGTTCTTCCCTCCTCCCCGTCCTCCCTGGGCCTTCGTGGGCCGCCGTGGAAATGTTATGAGGCCGTGTTCGAGCCTTCTGTGGCTGACCTCGGCGCCGTTTCGGCGCCCTCCTGGGTCATATTACTGTGCCCGTGTTGAGGCCCTGTTGGGGTCTTTGTGGCCCTCTTGGGCTGCCTTGGAGCTCCTTTGGGCCGTCTTGGTGTGAATGGTGGGACCTCTTGGCGAGCCTCCTGGGCGCTGCGACATCCACTCGAGTATACGAAAACCGTTGAAAACAAACAGGAAGCATGGTCTTGTCTCTCCAAGCCCGCTCTTGGAGGCGCTCTTGCGGTCCTTGTGGTCTCTTCGGGCCGTCTTGAGGCGATCTGGGACCTGGGAGTCTACTGGGCCATCTTGGATCGCCTTGACGGTTTTCTTGCCGTCCTCGCGGGCCACCGCGGAAGTCTCTGGAGGCCCACGGAGCCCTGCAAGGGCCCGCTGTCCCCTGGGGCCCGAAAAAGGGGGGTCTTGGGGGGTGGAACGAGCCGCCCTGAGGCTCTGGGGCCGGACCGCCGCGAATTCTACAGATGGACATGCGTGAGTATACCTTTTGGCGATAACGAGGCGATGCGGTAGCTTCGTGTCGGCACCATGATGTTGCTCCACTGCAAGGTCTGTTGGAAAAAAAATCCCTGGAGGAGTGCAAAGGGGGACAGGACAAAGCAAGCCACCGCTGCGGACAAATGTCTGGGCCTACCTCGCGCCAGGTGCGGGAGGCCGTGGCTTCAAGCATTGGGTAAAACAGTTGGTGGCAACAAGACTGCAAAAGTCAGGTCAAGTCACCCTGCGGGAGGAAAAGGAAGAGGAAGGGCTCTCAGGCTCTGGGTGTCGAAATTGACGCTCAGTATTCTGGGCTGTGCGTCGTCGTTCGCCAACTTCTTTTCCATGTGCACCCACGTGGCGTCGTTTTCCGCAAGGACCAACCAATCGGCGTCGCTCACGTCGTCACTGTTGCGGGCTGGTCCGTGGTGCTCGCCAATAACATGAAGGAACTCCGGTGCGTGGGGGGGGGGCTGGCCGAGGCGGAGGCCGTGGTCCGCGCCGCTCCGCCTACGTGTGTCGAATGCGGCATTGCGGCAGATGCTGAACAAGAGCGAGCTGGCGGAGCGCAACGGAAGGCGCTGCGCCTGGTCCGGAAGGAACTGCTGAAGGCACGGGTAAGGTCGAACACCTGGCAGCTCAGCTGCAGTTTGTCATGGCGGAGCCCTACGACGCGCACCAGGATAATCTCAAGGCGACGGAACCCTGCTCAGAGTCGGCCAACGAGGCCCACCAAACGGGCCCAGAGTGCTCTCCCAGAGGACCGCCGAGAGAGTCTCAAGGGGCAAAAATCGCCCCGTTCCCTTCGGACAACGTGTATGTTTAGCATACTCGCCTTTTTCGTTTTCACGGCGTCCAAAACTGCCCAAGGGGCCCGCAAGGTCGTCCCATGACAGCACATGAGACCCCCAAGAGGGCTCCAGACGGCCCCAGAAGACCCCAAGACAGCCCCAGGGACCCTTAAGACGGTCCAGGCGAAGCCCAATAGGGCTTCACGAGGGGCCCAAAAGGAGGAATACCAGCTGACATTCCGAGCCCTTCCCCTCCCCCCGATGGGCCCAAGGCCCCCGAGGCGCCCCCAAGAGGCTCCAAGGGGGCCAAAATGCGTCCCCAGAGGCCACAAGGGCCCTCCCCTGACATGCATCCCAAGAGACCCTCAGATGCATGTAAGAGGCTTCGGAGCCTCTGCCAAGGCACGGTGGCAGGTTGTGCCGAAGGCCACGACATTACTTCCACAAACGTCGGAAAATGTTTCTACTTCTGGGGGGCGGCGGAATAGAATAAACCACTTGAATGAAGATACGGATAGGCGACCCACCGATTCTGGATCGGGCGACCCACTTGTATAGAACCAAACTGTTAAACAAAACGGTGAGCAATCCCTGAATGCCAAGAAGTGTGGTATCAGTATCATGCTTGTGCTAAAGGCACTGCATATGCTGGAGGGCCTCCTGGGCCTGCACTATGGTGACGCGCACGGCCCGTCCTCTTGGGGAGCATCTAGAAATGGACCCGTGTGGTCGGATCAGCTGCAAGTAGCGACGAAGGGTTTCGAAGGCTTGGGGGTGTGCGGACGCCCCAAGCTCCCACACCGTCCACGAGCTCCCTACCGGAAACCATGCTCAACTGCTGCGCTACGAGGTGGCATGCTGGACTGAGCTGGGATCGGCTGCGCCCAAGCTAGCAAGAGGAGACCGAGCGCACACTGGGAGCCCTTCCCATCGCGCCGAAGGCCGCAAGCCTGGAGAAATGTCCTCTAGATCAACACGCGAGCGTGGATGGAGAAGCTTTCGGACCTTCTGGGACTGAAGTACACCATCCTATATACGGATGCCACCGACGAAGTGGGTAGAGAATTGCGCACGTCGACGGCAGTACCCTCCTGGAAATCCAGCGCTTCTTCGACGCTCATGGGCTTGACATTGAAGGTGCGGTAGCCCGCCCCTGGGTGGCGATGGAAGCGCGGCTTTCACTGGACTTGCGACTGCAGGATCCTCGTCGTCCTCCTCATCTCTGACCTTCCTCCCTTCATCCTACTTCTCATCATCATCGCACTCCACCTCATCAAAAAACTCCTCCTCGTGATTGTCCTCAGCATTCCTCTCCTGCTCCTGACCCTCCAACTCCTCATCCTCTCACTTCGATTTCAGGATGGGAAGACAATACAAACATAACAACAAGAGAACCCCCACTCTACCCCCGCGCTCGCGTGGCCCTCGCTGGCTCGCCTGGCCTGGAGAACGTTTCGATGGTGGTGTGGCGGATGTAGTAGTAGGCCGCGATCAACCCCAGGTTCGCTGGGGCCAGCTCCACATCGTCTGGAGGCGCCGCGGTGAGGGGGGCGCAGTCGGACCACGATCGAGGGAAGAGCGTCCAGGATGGACAAAACTTCGAGCCGCGGTCAACCGAAAGAGAGCCTTTGGCTCTGAGCTTTGCCCCCTCGCGCGGCCACCCTGGAGAAAAGTCTCGGCCTAATTCGCGAAGAATTTCATGCGTGCGGCCTACGAGCATTCCGTCGGCGGTCGACCCGAAATCCGCCAGAGACATCTCCACGTCATCTGGAAACGCTGCCGTCCAGCCGACCCCTCCCCTCGGAAACTGGAGGCCATGCTCCACCACCAGCCCCGGCCAGGCCCATCGTGAGCCCAGGGCTTGCGCATAGGCGATCCGCGTTGGTCGAGGGCCCAATGGTGGCGATGAACACAAATGGCCTTCCGTGGAGAACCGGGCCACATTCCAAGAGGAAGGCCGCCTCTGTAAACGCCATCCCCTGGAGCTTCCAAGATGCGGGGGACTTCTTAGAAGACCGGCCCCCCTGAGACTGGTTGTGTGCAGTGTCCTATGTCCGACTGCCCCGCAGCCGACCCCCCGTCCCTCCAAATTTTTTGGGCGGAACTACTCCATCTTCCAATCCGCATGCACTGCTGAGTGTCGCAGGCAGTGCAGACGGGTACGGGATCCAAGCAACGTTTCCACGGGGCGCACATTTCCACGACGCACGGCGTGGTGAACAAAACAACGCATCACATGAAGACGCACGCTGCAAATCAAACTCGGGCGAATCACGCGGAGACAGAAGGAGGCCAAGAAGATACCGCCATGTCCAAGCGCTGCACTATGATCACCCAACCATACGTGTGGCAAGAGTCGGGGCTTGGGGCACAAACCGTAGTGGGTCAAACAATCGGTATCACAATTCCTGCCGATGCATCCAAACCTACAACACTTTGGGGTCGGATGGAAACGGGCCAGAATATTGAAAGCAAAACAATCAGACGAATCAGACCAACAACAAGATTCGGGAGACGCTTTTGACACATACCTCAATCGGAAGACAATGAATTGTAATGTGCGGTTGCCGCCCTCGGGCAACCATACACCTCTCATCCCAAAGCAATATACAATATATTTTTGTTGTCAGCGATCCCCCGGGGGCCTGAACGATTATAAACAACACATCGGCACAGATGGCCGACGACGACGTGCTCAGCCGCTGAGCGCGGTTAACGTACAGCACAGCGGTTGAGGGACAGCTAAGGACGGCCCCGAAGGGCCCCAGATCTCGCCCACCACGCCATCCAACAAAACCTGGTCACGTTGCGTCGCTCGCGGACGCAGCAGCAGGCCTTGCCACCGCCGACGCCTCGCGGGCCTGAATGCGCGCCAAAAGCGCCGCCATCCCTGCCGTCTCTATCGGCCCTGACGGCGAGAGCGGCAGGCTGACGTCGGGCGGCGGAGGCCGCTGAGACGCGTAGCAGAAGAACGCCACTCCACGCCTCGAAGACTCACTCACCGTGCTGCTGTCACGGTAATGCGGATAAACTCCAGAAAAGATTCGCCTCAGCGTGGTGGCACCTCCAGCCAATCTGCGCTGAATGCACTCCTTGCCGAGCACGTGGCAGCGCGCGGAAGAGCACGCTCCGCGCGTGGCGCAAAAGAAGAGGATGAGCCTCTGCTCACCCTCATTTACAATGCAATGCGCAAGGGAGTGCCCCAGGGACCGATCCAAAACGCCGCGCCACAGCCTGCTGGGTCCTCTACATCCCAACATGGGTCGCGCCTCCAGGTCCGTGGAAAGACAAGAGCAATGCAAACATCTAGCGCAGCCCTGACCAATCTCCCGCCAGGAATGCCAACCTCCCGATTTAAAAAACTTAGCCATCGGTCCAGTGGGCTGACGGCCAAACCAACCGGGAGGAAAGGTGGCTAGCACGGCACCCGCCACTCTCGCCGCAAAGACGAGTAAATCGCACTTCCTGTCCACCTCCGTTCTTTCATGCACGCTGGGTTGAGGATGGAGGAGGAGGGCTTGCTTGGCCAGGGCGTCGGCTTCCAAGTTGCCGATGCCGATCCGTCTCCCGCGCGCTGGCAGGGCGTCCAGAACAGCGCGCGCGCGGTGCGCAGGAGCGCGGTGCGCCGACGGGGTATGGGGACACTTCATGCAGAAGGGCGCCTCTCTGAAGGCCAGCATAAGGATGTTTATGGACAGCCTGTTAATCCCGCGTAGCCTCACAGATGCGCACCACATGCATGCAATCGGCGTGGCGGTCGCCGCCGTTGCTCTGAAACATCGGGGGCAAGGCCATGCACAAGTGTTCCGCAGCTTGGGAGGTCTGCGGGAGGACCGACAGCACCGCGCCTTTGGCATGCGCAATATTAGCGTCACCTTCGCCCAAGAAAACCCAAGAGCAGGCCGCCCTGGACAGCTCCCTGACGGCATAGCGAAAGGCCGAGCCGTCCACGACGACATCGCAACCCGAGAGGCCCACAGAGCCCCAATCACAAAATATCCCCTTCGGGCGAGCACAGGATGGGTTTGGTGGCCTCAGGGTGTTCCCACTTTAACACATCGAAGAACAAACGGTCCTGACTTTCAAGAGCTTCGTGGGAGCCTCATCCGTAACGCGTTTCCGAGCCGCGACGGCCTCAGGGCGAAGGCACTGCCAAATGCGGTGCCGCACACTATGAGGCATCCCATACTTAGGGCATCGCCCGTCGCACGCATATCCAGCAGCCTGAGCCCTCGCACGGGTCCACACCCCTTTGCAGAAGACGCTCAAAGCCAGGTACTTCTGCTGAGGATTGGGTTCCCTTCCCTTGGGGCCCAACAAGGTTGTGAAGGGATCCGCACAAAACCGAACGCCGCCAGCCCCATGGGTGTCTTGGCACAAAACACGCTCGTGCTTACGTTGGACAGCCAACTGCAACGTATGGGCAAGCGTCGCAGGCGAGGTGTAGTCCAGATGCACCTCGCGACCGCAGTCGTCTTCAAAAGTGAGGGGGGTCACCGACTGCCACCCTATCCTAGCCAAAGACAGGTGCATGCGCTGCAGAGGTCCTCGTGATGATCGCCACGCGACCTTGTCATCAAAGGGGACAGCACGCCAAAGCTGAACAATTTCCTTGGCATTATACAGAGAAATCGACGGGGAAGCGAGGGCCAGCCGAACAACCGAAGCCCACTGTAAGGCTGGCGCAACGGACGGCCTCCACACGGGGTCCCCAAGGATAACCAAACGCGCCTGGAGGGAGCACCCGCGGTGCCTAGGGGGGTGCGAAGATAAAAGCACGTTGAGCCACTTGGAGCTCGCCTTGGCTCATCCCCACAACCGCCGAGCCAAAACTGGCCGCAGGTAAACTCCACACGTGTAGATTTTCCCCATTCGCGATTTTTGACGGGGGAGGGCCGAACGATATCTCATCAAAACTTTGTGTCTCTTCCTCATGTGGGAGATTATTTGTTTTCTGTTCCACGGACCATGTTTGGTACATCGTGACTGACCTGGTGCAAAATCCGTGCCGAGAGAGACCACGCTGTTCGTGACCTTCCCAGCCAGCTGCCCGAGGTGCCGAGCAATATTCTGGGCGAGGGTGCGGCTGCTGGCAAAAGTGCTGACCTTGTCGGGCTGAATGCCGGCGCGCAACTCGCCCCTAAACAGGACGTACAAGCATGCCGCGGCCTGCGTGATATTGGCCAGGACCTCTTGTTCCGAGCCCGACGCTGTGACGCGATCACCGTCCACGTACGGCGACAAATCGACGCTGGGGTTATCTTCAACAAACTTGTCAAGCGCTTCGATGCTGTAAACTCTAACCAGGATATCGTTGAAGATATCTCCCGCGGGAAGCCCAGATCGGGCGAAATAAGGCTGGGCCCCGTAATGGACCTCCAAACGGAGCAAACGGGGGCCCCTCAAACAGTTCAACGTCGTGTTAACAATAACCCCGTTGATGCCGTAACGTATCGCTCTGTCCTTGAGGAGGGCCAAGTCGAAAGACTCGTAATACTTCGTCCCGCCCCATCTGATACCCCCCGTTTCCTGCGGCTCGTAGTGGCCATCTCGGCCCGAACGGCCTGGTGCCACACGGCATTCTCAGCACTACGGCCAGGGCCAAACGCCCAGTAGCTTCGAAAGTAGTTCGTACTGGAATCCAAAATCAGAGGTCTCCGCAAACGCCCCCAGACACGGACAGGGCCAGTACACAGCAAAATCGGGCGGAGGCCTCCCTTGGGTTTTCCAGAGGGAACAAGAGCCAGAACAGTTGTTTCGGAAAAAGGCCCAGGGACTCGATCGCTTGGATTCTCGCCCCGAACTAGTCAAGGGCATCGTCCGAGACCAACGCTAGCTTTCTCGGATGCAGTCCGTCCAGGGACTGCGACGTCAGGTACGAAAAACTGCTGGACCCACCCCTGATCTCAGCCGCCGTCGGCCTTGGGAGGTGGGCCCGATGTGGGACGCACACCTCGGGGGGGATGTGAGACGCATGCCAAAACTCAGACAGGGATGCGCCTTCCGCCTTGAGCAGCTCTTTGGGGGGGGGGGGGAACAACCAGGATGATTTTGCACCGCGGTCGGGGCCCACTTCTGCTTGAGCTTCGTGAGCCCACGCATGGCCCGTGCACCCCCCGAGAGGGCCTTCTCCTGCCATTGATCCCAACTGTCCTGCTGGACCTTCGCGACGGCCTTGCGCGCCTCGCTCAGGTCGTCGCCCCGCGACGACAGAGACTCCTGATACTGCTCAATCCAGCCGTCGAGGCCGTCACCGAGCGCAAAAGAACAAGCCAATTTCCGCGCCTGAGCGAGGGTCGCGTCGACTCTAACATTCTGCCCTTCACCAGGGCATGGTGACATGAGAAGCTGTTGGATCTGGTGGCTCGCGTCCTCAGACAACTGCTGAAGCTGAGCTTGATCCGTGGAATCGGGGTCCTGGGAAGCCCTGCGAAGCCGAAGCGAAACAACAGTGGTCTCCGACAAATGTTGGGCCAACCAGATCCACCCAACGTGCTGCTCTCGGAGGCTACAGGCCTTGGGCTTGG